TATTATATATATATAATAAAGTATAACTAAATTTGAATTTTAGAGATAAAGAGTGGTCCAGATCGTTTTGAGACAAAACATAAACATATCCAACTGACAACGTAATCCCAATATAAAATACGGTTCAGATCATCTTAAAAATTTGATTTAACAGTCTACAGTTAGTCCTGAATTTCTTTATCCGCCCATGAAGAAGCCTCTTATCATCAGACTCTACACTTTTATCTCTCATACGTCTCTATCTTAAATTTAAAAAAGCACAATAACAACTTATATTGAATTCATTTTAAATTAAATGATCTAAATTTTATTTAAATTCATCAAACTTAATCCAATGGTTCACAACACATCCCGCACAAAAATAAAATTTCGCTCAATTTAACTACACCCACACACCACCCATTTTGTCTAACATATAACCCAAACTCTTTCTCTTTCCCCCATTAACCGTCTTACTTCTCTCAGTTTCTCAGAAATAATTGTCATCCTCCTCAGTGTCTCGTCTCTTTGTGCAGACTCCAATGATGGATAGACATTCTTCAGCAACGCAGAACATAATCTGGAGACCCACTGGACTTATCCACTCCGACCATCCACTCTCTTTCATACAAATTGTATTGGCAGTGATCTAATTTTCGGAAGTACTCTCGTTGGTAATCTCTCTATCTCTGGTAAGTGTGAATATGTGTATATATTGACACTGGTACAATTACCATGCAATTGAAACAAACACTGTAAGTTCCATCAGCCTCACATAAATCAATAAAATAAGAAGAAATATTGACAAAAAAAACTACCACCCCATTTGAGTTCTAGCCAATCATAAAGTAATTTGTTTGATGATGTAACAACTTGGCTGATATAATAATAGGTGTGAAATTGATGCATAGATATCGCTCACAGCCCAAGCGATGTAAGTCACCGCCTCTGCTCCTCTCCATCGCCATCGCCCCCAGCCACTATCCACCAAAATTGAATTATATTGATGGATTTTTAGTGATAACAATTCAAAATAATAGTCCAAGTGGATAAATCAAACAAAAAAAATGCACATCTTAAAATTGTCAACAATGGCTTCCCGTCGTCTAGAAAAGAAAGCTAGGAAGACGATCACAAATTCCATTTTTTCCCCATAATTTTAGTGTATTTACATTTTTACCCTTTAATTTTCAGAAACATCATTATTATCCCTTAAGTTTCAAAACTAATATTATAACCACAAAACTTTTCTAAAAATTCTTCTTCTTCATATAACTTTAAGGCATCTTTGACACATTTATTAGATCATGTGTGCAGTCTATATCTTTAACTAATGCTAGAATTACCAATTGCTTATAACCAATTCTTTTCTCTCTATTTACTTTCTAGCATAAATTGTATAAGTGGAGTTTAGCCTCATGTGAGGCTTCAATACTCAATTCCTATTGGTTGGAATTTTGGAGGTGTGTGCTTTATGGAGGATGACAAACTGATTATGCGGGTAGTTATCAAATCTTTTGTGTTTAATTTTTATAATTGTGCAGTTAGCAAATGTTTAACATTTATGTGTGTTTATGAATATTGATGATTTTTTTTTTGTATTGGTTTAGTGGTGCATGCTTTGACAATAGTTTATTGTTTTAATTTTTAATGTTCGTGTGGTTTAGTTGTGGATGTATTGTCATTAGCTGATTATTTTTAAATGTTATATGTTAAAAGTGTATTATTTGTACCTTGATTTATGTTAGTTTTATTTAATTTCTAATTTTAGGATAAAACTTTGCATAAAATTAAAAATATTTCTATTAATCACACATAAAATACATAATAATCTCTAAGTTTAGTGTTTCTTTTTTCAAAGTTTGACAGTTTAACGTTTGACCCCAATAACCGCATATACACCGTTACTACAACACAAAAATCAGTATCCAAATGGACAATATCACCATTTTTGGACATGTAAGTTATTTAGTATATCAATTTTTTTAAAACCTTTGGTATAATTTTTCATCCTTATTACAATCTGATTCATACCTACAACACACTGTAAGTAGATCTTCTTATCACGTATCTTAGTATCGATGGTTGATATTTACTTCTTACTTCTTATGAATCAATAAAGTTTAAATTGTCGTTATAATCCATAAATAAAATCATCAAGTTATTATTCATACTAAAAATAAATCACTACTGCATGAAAACATATAGTTCTCAGAAAATAAAAAAAAATTCAAAGCCCAAGTTAATTAGCAATTAAAAAAAAATAAGTGACCAATACAAAAAAAATAAGATACCAGTTGCAGCAACAAAAAATGTTTAAAACCAATCTAATCGCTATGTGTTGAAATTATTCAAATATCTTATCTTTGTGTATTGAAATTTTATAAGTAACATAGTGCCTTCAGGCACGGACAATAATTAGTATATATGTATGAGAGAGATATAATCCTAACCTATATATGGATATAAATAGATATGAGAGAGAAAACAAATTTAATATTAGTCAATTTCATAAAATTTAGAAGTTTTTAAATTTTACTTTTATTTCATTTTTAAAGAGAAGGGATAGTATGATAAAATTGACAAAAATGAGCTTCATAATAAATAAGTTTTCTTGGCGGACTTAAGTCAAAACAAGTCCATATAAGGGGACCAGCCTCCAAATTTATCAACTTTGTATGTGTTAAAGTTTTTTTTGCCTATTTGTAGACATTTCAAAATTTGGTGCCTTCATTATTGGTGGGCCTAAAGCCCTGGTTCATTTGCTCTATGCCGGCCCTGGAAAAGAAAATAGGAAATTAGGCTAAGATTCCTCTTTTAGTAAATTACATTTAGTCCTAGTGGATTTTTAATTTGTAAAAAAGTATTCCTTGTTTTTGAAACCTTTGAATGCATCATACATTCCTTATGTTGGTGGGTTTGGACAATTATTACATATTTATTATCCATTTTACCCTCATCACATGATTTCAAATTAAATATGAGAGATGTAAATGATATATGAAGTGATTGATGAGTCTAGGAAAGTCATGGTTGCGACGAGGACTCTCTTGGAGAAGTGAGAGATACTAATAAACAAACTAGTTATTATACGTCGTCGTTCTGTAGGGCTGTCAAACATGGCGACAACTCAAACGTTATTACCTGGGTCAAAGGCTATAAAACGGCAGCTTGGTTCAGAGGTTGGAGTGCTAGGCCTCTCTCCCTCTCCTCTCTCAATTATCTGCAAAGATGAA